GGGGGGGGGGGGGGGGGGGGGAGAGGGGGATGTTATTGTGTGTGTCGTGCCCAATAATTCTCTCGGAAAAGCAGTAATTATGTCAAACAACCGTTATCGTTGTTAACCCTCTGTGACTCACCCAAAACAATCTAAGAAATAATTCCTCTTGTCCCTGAAAGTATAAGCTATACAAAACGTTTCCTCAAACAAATCTGAAACACAATACAAACACAACACAGTACATAGGGAGGGCTGTCAGATGAGAATTACACTCATGGCAAAAAGCCTACGTTTTATTTTTAATTCCTGTGACTCTAAACAAACGTTGACAGGAAAGGAAGAAGCTGAGAAAATGAAAGAATTGCCCCATTAGGTGAATCACGCGTTTCTCAGCTCCCATTTAAGGCCATCACTCCTTTCACTAATAGGAGCTGAAAACGTGCACAACTGCGCAATCCTGAATACACTGAAGGCTCGGTGGCATGCCCCGTTTTTCCTTGGTCCTACTCTCCCCTTGCTGTTCTGCTGTCTCTCCATATACTTTTTCGCATCAAGAGCAGCATCCTCCTCCTGCTCACACAGCTCTGTGGAGCACCAGTAACATGTTCTCTAACCCTTGTTCGGCTGCCTTGAAGTTTCACACGTTTATATTTAAAATGAGAGCGGCTAAGAAGATTTGTCTTTATCAATAAGCCAAGGCATTATCCTCTTCCTCCCCTGGTGTATTTGCTTTGTTTGCCCCTCTCAACAATCTGCGGTCCCAGAGTACAGTTTCTTTGGAGAGAAGATCTATTATTCTCGTTCACAAAGTAGAGTAGTGGAGGGAGGGAGTCATTAACACGTGGTAACGAATATTATTAATAATTTAAAGTATATCCTGAAACTGTTGTCTCTCCATGAAAAGAAACCATATCTCACTAAATCTAGGAGATAATGTCAGTGGACTTGACGTAATCTCAACAAAATATTCCTTATTTGTATTAGGAGGCAAAATATGCTCGATTTGCTTTCTTCAGGAAAACCGGTAAGCTTTTGAAGGCTATGAGTGGGTCAAACATGAAAATACATTTCAAAATCTAGGAAAAGATACATTTATAATTATAAAAGGCTGGATAATTACCACTATCTGAAAATAGTCACTAGGAATGACCACTTCGCCGTTCTTGATCCACTCCACCGTCGGAACTGGCTTACCGGATACAGCACATTCAAACTCAATATCCATACTCTCATAGGCATAAAGATTTGAAGGGCGAATTAAAAACCATGGTGGAACTGCAGAAGATGGGGAAAAAAGGAAAGAGGCAATGATTGGAGGTAAATAAAGGCTTAGCGAGTAAATAATTTCAGTAAGTCTGAAAAATATTAGACATAAATAGAAAACATATCTGTAATTCAAATTGCTCTCTTCAACCTTGAGCTCACTGAAAGTAAATAGTAGGGAAAATATTTATTCTAGAGGACACACTTAAACAGTTGCTGTTAATGTTTCCATTTTTTGCCAGGAGAAAAGAATAACATCCCCAATTCAGAAAACAGGTAAGATTTACGTAGAACAAAAGAAATACAATAGTCTCACAAAGTGCGTTGGGTAATCAAATCTCATTCATTTCAAAGGATCAGATGCTAACTGCATGCAGAAGGAGGAATTGTAAGTCAACATACGGAAAGGTAGGGACAGGTACAAGACAAGTGCACTGACAAATGACATGGAATTCAAAGTATTTAGAGTAGAGACATTTTCCTATCATCAAGGAGTAGTTTTGAGTGGATTGATAGAAGATGAAGAGATAATCAATAACCAGAAAATCTGTCCCTAGTGATTGGAAGAAGAAAAAGGTTGAATTATCTTTGCTGAGGATGAATTCTTACTAAGCTAGCAATTATCTGTTGCCTTGTATTACTATAATATATTCACAGTTTTGCAGTACGCTATACGATATGCTAATTTAATTTAATTTCATCATTACCATAATACTAGTATGATGGAAATTAGCACTTTGAGGAAAAACTGCTAATAACATCACATTTCTAATGAGCCCCCCCTTCACAGGAAAAAACACATGCAAAAACCAACAATCCATATACAGCCCATCAGCTTTCAGAGAGGAACAATGTTTCCTATTTTGAATATTCATAGTTGCCAGGAAGCCAGAATAGATTAATTCCTAAGTATCATCTACGACTTATCATTTCAGACGGAAAATCCAATTGTATTTCTTGAGCCATCGTTCCTGATGTCTGATTATAACGTTTATAAAGCCATAATATTAAAAAAAAACCCTCTAAATTAAAAGAAAGTGAAGATTATAAAAATCAATTGCTCAGAAGCTAAGAAATGTTAGAATCAAGGCTGCCCTCGCATCTCTAATTCGGACCCCAGGTTTGCACAGATTACGGCTCAGTCTCCAATTACATGACCAAATTCCATTTCCTCCACAGCCTCGTTCAACACCCGCCGCAGCCCACGCGCGCTGAAAGAGCACCGCTCAAGATTGGATTTCATGCTTGCCATTTAGTGGGTGGTTTCAGGCCTTCTATCCTTCATGCTATTCAAACTTTTCTCTGCAAGAAGAATGATTAACTCCCCAGCAGGGTTTCCTCCGGCTCACATCTCTATAATACCCACACGTTCCACAAGCTTTTCCCCCTCCCCACGTTCTCCCGGACAGTAAGAGGTGCTACCAGCCCAACTGTAGATCAGGAGACGAAACCCAAACTAGTACTGAAAGGGCAGAAGTACTCCCGCCTCATATTTCCTGTCCAGTTGGGTATGAGTTAGACCAGTCTCCACTAAGGACTACTCAATATAATGACGTTTTCCATTGCTGTGTGAGTGCTCCGCACTTTGGCACATCAGACCACAGAGTTGCGCTGGGCATGCAGAAAACGAGCACGTTGTTAACTACCTTCCAAACCAGCATCCCATAGCAATGCTATAGCTAACACGGATATAACAGGGCTCATTCTTTGGGGCTGCATTTAACCATCTTAACCACAAAACTCTTTTCTGCCTGCAACTGCTTGCCTTATTGACAATACAGTATCCAACTTTGCAACAAAGAAAGGCCGAGCCCTAGTGATGATTGTCTCCTTAATTACACAGTCCTGATTAATCTGCTGAGTGCTCTCCAAGCTGGCATGCAGAACGAGGTGGGAGTTCTCTTGAGAAGATGCGACAGTTTTATTTAGAAGCTGTACATAACGCATACAAACAAGGGGATCGACATAAGACTGCAAAATTTTTGTCAGCATTTGCTTGATTTCAGTAATTGCTTTTACAATACTAACATTCTCTAAACACTGCAGCGTTCAGCAATTTTTTTTAAAAGACAACTTCCCACTTCCCCCCCTCCCCAATTCCACTGTTGGGGTTGGCATCCATATCGGTCTTCATCCGCAGCCACATCCGTCATCACCATTGGAGGAGTTTGGAGAAGAGGCACCCAGGAAGCAGAAATCCAATATTTTGGGGTTTGCCTTCAACTTTATTTTGCAAACAAAACTATGATGGCTTCTGACTCCCAAGTTATGTTTCCACTTTCGAGCTAAACTATCCCTAACTGAACAAACTTCTGCCCTGCGCCCCTGCACTGTTCTCGTTCCCAGTCTTTTCTTTTTGTCTTCCAGTTTGGTTTCTTCTTTTCTGTATGCTTAATAATTTGGGATACCTAAAAGCTCCAGACCAAGTTCAGATCAAATGCACACAAATTAAAAGCGACGAGGCGTCCTGACTAATTTAGCTGCCCAATTCCCTACTGAAAGAGCTGACATAGCCCTGTGTACTCAGATGAGGAACTCTGCAGGCCAGGAGCTTTCTGCTCTGCCGCTACACAGACATCGACACAGTTGGGCACCAGCCTGCGACAGCTGCAGAAATGCAAGAGCACGAGAGCTTCAACTTCTACTAAACTACTTGAAAGACAACACAGGAAATTCTGCAGATGATTTTTCAAATAAAATTCCACTCATAAGCAAAAACTGGTAACCAAGACTCCGCTCAAGACCTTTTTAAAGGAAAGCACCACCAGCTACATTAGGGATACACAAAGAGAGACAATTTAGTGGGTAGAGTTATGAATAATCAGCATTAGGTATGGTTCAACAAAAGAGAACGAAGCTGTTTGACTGGGTAAGAAGAGCTGAAGAAAAAAATAAGTAGAAGGAACTGCATTCATATGTTAATTTTTAATTTTTTAATACTTAAGCCTTAGTACAATATATTTAATAAACTTGCATAAAAAACAGGATCTATGTAGTTTATAGACCAGAAAAATATTGCAGAATTCCAACAAAATCACGAACTACTCAATCTTCATCAGTATACCAATTACGATGTCACCAGAAGCCCGTAATTAATTTATAGACTTGTAATTCACAGATTCCCACCAGTTATGCTTCATGACACCCATGTTCAGGGACTCTGACCCCAACTGGCCTGACGCTGCTCATTTCCTCTCAGGGAACAGGGCTCCTGTTGCTCCTCACCCCTGTCTCTCTCTCTCTTTTTTTTTTTATTGCTAGAGTTTCTCTAGACTACAAGAATTTTATTTACATGAAGTCATTGCCATCAAGACATGCATTGCAAGACAGGTGCTTGGCAGGGAAGCTGTTAGGGCACCAGGGCTATCCTGGGGACAACCTTCTTGGCTGAAAGCAAGGCAAGGAGAACACCAGCTTCACCAGCAGTAAAGACAGTTCAAGAGAGGCGTTTAATCACTCCTGTGAGCGCAACGTATTCCCTGAGACATGATATCCTCTAACCAGCAGAGTTAAACTACTACACGTGCACTTGTTCGTGCCAAGAAGGAACTGCAGTGCCGCTGTCGCGGTTTCACTTGAGGAGCTCGTAGCAGCTTCGAGCATGGGGCTTGGAGAGGATCAATGCTGCGTTTGCAGTATTTCTGGTACGCCCCATAGCACCGTATATCCCTTTCGTCTCATTCAGCGGTGCCCTTCGGGAACGGCACAGCACGAATCGATGCTGGCTTCCTTTATGTTTTCTTCAGTATACAAATCTGTGTTGGACTTCACTCAAAACGAACATATTTCACCACTGTTGCGCTCGCAGGCAAACACCTTTTCTCCCTCATCACAGGTATGCCCTCTAATTTTACTATGGACACCATTAGCACGAGTGGTTTGCACCACTGCTTCTGCGCAAACTGTACAATATTCAACACAAGTAGACACTACAAATTGGGGCAACATAACACCCTGAAGCAGACAGATGTAATACTTTGAGGCTGGAAATGTGTATATGTGTATTTATATAAAAAGTCAAGCACTATAAATACACATTCTATAAATATTTTATGTATCAATAAATGTCAAGCACTGCCATATTTTCTCTCTGTGTGGTTTTTCCATGTTGAACATTTTAAAGATATGCATATGCGAAGAAGGTTGGCGAGAAGGGTTGTAAAGAAAACAAAAACACAGGCTGTTTTCATGCATACTTTTCACGCATACTTTTCCTTCTAATTACAATAAAGCAATTAAAAAAGACAGTTTGAACAAACTGTAGACATTTGTTCCCCAAAAGCCCCACAGTGTTTCACAGAAATATTTGCTTCCAGAAGGTTTCTGTGACTTGGCAGAGAGAGGGAGTACAAGGAGACCTCCTCCATACTTACATCGTACTGCGTCCCGCTCGAGGCAAAAGCCAGCAAATTCTATCTTCACACAAAAATAATTTAAAAGAACAACGCAGAAGGTCACATTTTCGTTCTATATCAGAATGGAAACACTTCTCAAAACGCTGACTGTTCTGTCCTATCTAAATGCCCCAGTCAGAGACTGAAGACATTTTATCCTGGATACTGTATCCAAAAAAAAAAAATTTTAAAGAAAAAAGAAAAACACCACCCAAATGGTTAACAGAGATATATAAAAGAAAACTTCCAACAGATTGTGTAAACACACAAATGTCTACAGTTTGTTCAAACTGTCTTTTTTAATTGCTTTATTGTAATTAGAAGGAAAAGTATGCATGAATTAGACTCCTGTCAACCAATGGTATCAAGTGCCCCACTAAATATCTTTGGATAAAGGATGAGGACAGATCAGCGTGCAACCCTGTTCACTCTCTTCGCTGGGGAGGATCTTCACCAGTGTGAACGGTGTGCCTTAAATGAAGCACAAGAGCAGACCCTCTTCACAGGTGAGTAAGTTTGTGCCGCACTTCAGTTCCCCATACTACAGTAAATGCACTAGGTTGCTCAGCTCCTAAGTTGCGTCGCTGCCGACAAGCCCATCAGGAAGCTGCAGCACGA